TTAGTTCTGCTTTTCAAAAGAGGCAGTTTCTGTTGACCTATATTATGGGCATACAAATGATCATTAAAATTCTCCCCTTGGAAGCAAGTTTTTAAGACAGCCCATACTTTTGTGCTACCATTCATTTTCAGCAAAAGCTATATAATTTAAACGTGTAATGACTCTGGAAGGCTTATCCTTCAGGGTCAATATTCACAGGTGTGCAACACCTAGAATGCAAGCTGTCTGTTAGTCGACTGGTATGAGGAGTAAAACTACTTTCTCCATGTAAAATAGGCCTTCATTACTTGCGACCAAAGCATCACATATAGACTGTTCGAGGCCTTAATCATTCATTCGCCCCAAATTATGCATTCGAGCTCATAATTGTATTTACTTTCTGGATGGATTTTCGAGTAGTCATGATTTGCTAAATAGATCAATATTTTCGAATTGATTGTAGCCCGATCAGGTTACTTTTTAATCGTAGCTTTATACTTCCACATCTTCTTTCACCATACTAATTTAGTCTGGATCATCATCATGCTTTGATGTTTATTCATAAATATTATTATTTACTGTATTCCAAACGACATGAGACCGACTTCTAGTTGTATTCAGGCATAACTACGATGATCACCATCCTTATAATTTTTTAATGAATAATTTACCTCAGCACACCATAGTTTATCCCTTAAAGCAGATTATGCTCTTTCGATGCTTGTGTACTCACGATAGGAACTATATTAATATTTCCCGTAATTATATATATGCAAAGAATAGAGCAGAGCAGTTCCAAATAAGATAAGATTTAACACTAATCTTACAAGAGCAAAGCCTATCAATTACCCAATATGGAATGTAAGTGAAAGGCCGATAAAATGAGCTGACTGTCAGTTTATTTTAAAAATAATTGATCATATATTCGACTTTAAATGGTGGATGCTTCAAAAAAGAAGCCTTGTAAACATGGCTTCTAACTAGGTTTTACTTGTCCCACAGGATACTCACGTGCTTTTTCAATCAATAGCTATGATAGGTCTAACCACCAACATTAAAAGTTAAAATGTTGATATTAAGTTGACGAATACAACATTGAAACCTCTAATCAAGGACTAGGTAATTCTTCATTAGTATTGGCTGACCTCTGCTACTTTTGATAAAAGGAGCGCATTTCAATATTATTTAGTTACAAACCTTCTTATCCGAAGCATCCATCAATTTAGAGTAGAATGTGTCGACTTCATACTTCCTCATTATATCATTATATCCAAATGATTACTAATTTGTCAAGCTGTATTTTATCTGCATGTTATGCTCTTAATTCTTATTTGATGTTTGAAATCCATTTACCCATCTGCTAATTAGCCCGTATCTTTTACTGATGGTGCTTGACTTGCTTTTCCCTCTTCCATTGCTCCCGCCCATTTGCTCTTCTTCAATAATTCTGTAATGTTCCTTTATTATTAGGCTTCATGGGGTATTTTTGACTGGGACAACACTTTGCGTCAGGCTTTGGCTGGTAGTCTGCATTCCTGTGAGCAGCATTTTTATCCGCGCTGGCGAGACTATGAGACCGTGCAGGCCGCATCTCACTATACTTTGGATGAGGAACAGTATCGTCGCGACTGGGATAGTCTGCTAACTTCCGCCTCACAGCCACGTATGCAGAAAATTTTTTCATTTTGCACACTTATCCTATCAATTAATATTCGCACGATTCACTTCCGCCTTCCCAATGGCTTATTTTCAACATAATCATCTACAAACATTCTCTCTTCAAAGTTGCCACTGCATATGCTAATTTTCCTATAGGCAAGCATTCATCAAATAGGTTTGGTAATATATCTGCACTTTCGTAGTAATCGTAATCTTTTATA